GGTGTCTTTGTTTTTATGCGGCATCATAAAACTAACCCATCTACTCCTTTTGGATTCTATAGGGAGGACATAAGATTCTGGGCAGTGTGCATGCTTCTTTTCACCATCTATCTCCTACTCTAAAAAATTAAAAGCAGGAGTAGAGTTTCTAGGAGAGCGATTTTTTTCCCTGACATCTGCCTCTGTACCTAAGTCATTCTGTTTTGAGAAAGTTATCCTGTTAATGGACAGACAGTCAGAGTTTTAAATTTTTTTATGTAACTGTTACTGTAACATTTTGTTGGATTGGAAACAACAAAAGCAAAAGACTTGGCTAGTGAGAAAGTACAACAGTCGTCTTCAACGTCATTCTGTGCTGCTGCCTGATAATCATAGTTCATGATTTTGCCTGTCACAGCGGTTGTGTCTTGTGAAAGTAAATCTTTACTTCTGGTTGATTGATTGATTGTGGGACACATCAAGTCTTTATCACTCTGAGCAACCACGCAGAAAGATTGTCTCCATGATGATCTGTCCCTAACCTGCTCATTCAGGTCTTTCAGTTGTGCACCCTTTGCTGCTGTAACTGGTACGTCCACTGTGCTGCTGGTTATCCTCTTCTATTCTTTTCTTCCACCTTTCTTGCAATGCAGAGTAAGTAGGGTATCCTGACAGCATGGCAATGGAGAAGCGATGAATCTTTTCTCAGGGCTTTATAGGTCATGTAGTCAACTGATTAATTATCTTTCTTACTCTGATGTAAGATGCTTTTTTTCTGACTTGAACAAACAATTTCTTTATGTTAGCTTGGCAGAAGAGTCTTTTCTTTTTCTGCAATCAGCAATGAAAAACAGAAGTTTGTTGGAGGCTGGACAGAAAGACATCTCTGTCCATTCATTGCCACATTGATGTGACAGGGACAAGGGAAACAAGGGACAAGGGAGTAGAAGCCACATGCTGGGTAATTGCCATCCAACTGAAAATCTCAAGATTTTTCCAATTGGATGTAACCTACCAAATTTCCTCCTTTCAGACTGTCTCCATTCATTTTAGTAGCTTACGCTAGCCATTAATCATCACAAGTCTTTTGCAGGCATTTTGAAAAATGTCAGTATCTAAAAGCTTTGGAGAGGGGGACTGTTCTTAACCTGAGGGATAAAAAAACATATGGTACTGCTACTAGTGTCACCTGAGGAGATTGTATGGATGTTCTACTCATTGTATCTTGAGTCACAATATTTGCCAGGTATGACTGGAAAAATCAGAGTGATGCTATACTGATTTAAGGAGACTTTCATGACCTAGTCCATTTAGGAAATTTATTATTTTTGAAAATCCCAATTTTTCAGGATTATGAAATCTTTGCTACCAAACCCACTTAAAATTTCGACTGCATGCCAGGTTTCAGTATTCTTCTGTACATCGACAAGGTTGATGCCCTATTGATTAGCATATAGTTTAGACATTTCTCCATATCTCTACTAGCAGACAAATATGACAATTTCAATTGTAGTGTAGTCAGACTCTAAGTTTGACTGGAATTACATTTTACTAATATAGGCTATGAATAGACTCTTGAAAGCCTGACAGTCATTTTGCTTTCCTCTTCACTCTCTTATCCTCTAGCAAGTTAAAGTGGAGCCAGTTTGTTTTGTTTCATTTTTGAATGCTTTCCTCACATCCCGAGCTTAAAACATCAGGGTTGAACTGTGGGGTCTTTGGTGCTGTTTGAGCTTGGCTGTTTTCTAGCTCATGTTTCATTTCCCAACATCAATAAGACATATTTTATTTGTAACTGTTGCTGCATTGTTTCTCCAAGCTCATCTCTAAGGCTCTCTACAGCAGCACACAAAAGTTCATTTGTCCATTGCTGTATAATTTAATTTGATTTTATTATGGACCGATCTGAGTTTACCAATAATATTTAAATAGTTTGTTTTATTTATGTCTTGTAGAATTAATGTATTTCCCAAAGTACAGCAAAATCCTCCAGCCACCATATTATTCTGCTCATTGTTGGTAATATAGAAATTATTTGAACTCTTATATTTTACCTTTTGATTGCCAGAAAGCAGCACAAGTTGTGAAATCCAGTCTCTCATATGCCATGCTTGGGTGGATGTCAGGTGGTGCCTGGAAAATAAGTGGTTGCAGCCAGAACTACTAAGCTAGTAAGAAGCTGCTTCGTCAAAGCAGAAAATAAGGTCAGGCTTCTGGGATGAAAGATTTAAGACCTCCTGCCCTGCGGATTCAGCAGTCTGCTATAACCTGCGGAGTATCTAGTGTTCAAGATGCTGATTTTTTCAGGATCATCTCAGCTTTGTTAGAGGAATGTTTCATCCACCTACTGAACATGCAAATATATTGGCAGCAAGGCCCATGTAGCTTTCTGAAATTGTCATATTTATCTGAAATATACAAGATGTTCATTTGAATCTCCTACCCCAACATCAAATCAGCAAAAACATCTCATTCATTAAAACAGGACAACAAACTTCATATAGCAGGCAACATCAGGAGACTTGATGTAGTGATGGAAGTTTTTATTAAATGGTAAAATGTTTTAGTTTACGAGATGGCTAGGATCTAGCAGACTTGAAAAAGTAAAATATTTACTTTAAAATATGCTAATTTCAGTCTGATGAAAGCTTAACTAATGAAGTCTGCTATTGATCCCAAATATAAAATGAAAGTGCATTTTGAAGTCATCATTATATTACACATATGGCATTAGCTGTTTCTCTGCTTCTTAGCCATTCAGTTTCATTTTGATTTTCAGTGGCTTATTTTCAAATACCTATTTTGACAAAAATAGTCATTTCTGTTCCATGAAAGTCATTTGTAAACGTATAAAAATGGTAAGCATTTTTTAAAAAGTCATTTCCCCCCAAATCTCCAGATGTATACTGTTGATAAAAAAGACCCTTAACCTTGAGACCCAAAAATTAACTGTCAGCTGTCATTTTATGTGTTCCATGGTCATGAAAAAAATTGTAACACATCTGAAGCAAGTGCTTTATGCAGATATTGAAGATGAAAATTACAATCCATAAATCTCCAATCTTAAATTTTTCAAGGCTTCTGAAACAGTTTTATATATTTTTTTCTCATAAGATTAGGAGTGACAGAATTTTGAAGTTATTGCTGACAATCAGACTTGATGCCTCCAGGTCACTCATGTACTTTAGTTCCTCTTTGAACTTAAAAAGGAATTGTATTTAACTTGTGAACTTCATTTCATGAAGGAAAAGAAGGTGTACCAAAGGAGCAGAAAAGATATTGATATTAAAGCTGGAAATAGGATAAAATTTAATTGAGGTGGCACCTCTTTTTCCCTAAAGGCTGGGGGGCAAAAGGGAAACTTGCTTACATCAACTAAAAGCGTGAATAAACCTAGAGTCCAAACTATATCTACCTTTTTCGTAAATGTATTCTACTGTATTCATTTTCTTCCACCATTTTAAAACCACTAAGTAAATTCTCCTAGAGTTGAACACCCAGAAGTGTTTTATATAAAATGCAAGAAAGTAAAAAGAAATAAAGGTGAAAGAGAGTGAGAGAGATACATGTGGAACAATATTTGGTAGAGAAATAATGAAAGATATAATCAATACATATTTTCTGGAATATAAAGCATCACCTTGCAACAGGATGTGGCACTAACTTGTCTAATGTGCTCTCTGTAGAATTTTTAATCTTTCTTTTGGGGGGAGGAGAGCAAAGCTCAGAAGCAATATTTCCTGTGATGGCCCATGCCTGTGGACTAGCCTCCCCCAGAGGTCAAGTTGGCATAAAACTCCCCTAGAGAGCTCTTAGGGAATGAAGGCGTGGAAACTCTTAGATTGTGGATTAGGCTTTAAATGTTTTCTGCTTTGATATGTTTATTATACTTCTATGTTCTATATTGTCATCCATCAGGAATCTGTTATTTGATTAAGTCAGTATGCAAAATTGAAAAGTGAACAAACATTACTGTATTTTTAGTATTTCAGCTCAATGTAGTTTGTTTTATCTTTGCTCAAGGATGTACTAAGCAAACTACATTTCCCAAAAGTGGAAACACATTGTCTCTTTAGGTGTAACTTGTAATATTTGAAGTTATGATGTTCTCTGTTGTGACTTTCGAACATTTTACCTCCTGCAATTATGATGCACTGCTTTAGCATTACATTTACTTGTTTTGTTATTTTTAAACGTGTAATGTCACTGCTTAATGTTCCTGCCATTATTGATATTTTGTGTTTTTAGATTACAATCTTATTACTCCTAGAAGGGTCATTGATGGTACATAGAACAGTTTAGTTCTTCTGTTTTAGGGTCACGGGGGTGGGGGGGGATGCATCTAGACTTCCTATCTGACCTCAGGCTTTCTACTCTGTGCCTTGTAAAATTATTTATTAGTCTGAGATTTGATAAGTCAGTCTTTACCAGCAAATGAATTACAGATGAATTAGACTTTTAATTCATATACACCTTTCTCTGTATGTCTAGGAATTATGATATCTGGAGCTGATCTGGTTGGGGTAGGTTCCCCCAACTACTTATCTTGAACCCTTGGGCAAATCTCTCATTTTAAACTTTAAATAATGGTTTGGAGCCAGGCTGTTTGAACAACCATCTTTCCTCCATTGCATCTACCCAACCCACCACTACAGGAATTCAGAGTATGGTGTGGGTCCAACTATTAGGGATCTACATTGGTGGGAGCATGAAAAGTGTCTTGTTGGTGGTGGCTCCTTCCCTATGGGACATACTTCCCATGAAGGTACAATTGCCCCTCCCCTGTTGCTCTTTTGAAAAATGCCAAACACTTGGCTATTCAGCAGACCTGGAGATCCCAAATGGAGATGTAGCTGATCAAGTAGCTGATCCGATGGTCTTGTTGAGAGGAGGAGGGGGGGTTTATGTTGTTTTTAATGTTGTAAGCCACCCAAAGTCACTGGCGTATGAACTGGGCAGCCATGTAAATTTGTTTACTACATAAATAAATAAACAGGAAAATTTCTCTTTGCTATCTCCAGGTAGTCATGTATATTGGTCAAGTCATGAAAGACCTTCTGAAGTGGCCTCGTCCTCATTCACCACCTGTTGTCAAGCTAGAAAAGAAGACTAATGCAGAATATGGAATGCCATCCACACATGCAATGGCAGCCACTGTCATCTCTTTCACTTTTGTATCTGTGACTGCAAACCAGTACAAGGTAGGAAGCAGCAATTCTGATTTAATCTAGTCAAGTTGCATGACCAAATTTTATTGCCTTATTTGGTCAAATATTAGTCCTTCCATCTTAAGCCTCAAGTATTTAAGTGGCATTACAATCCATTTCTGTTTCATCCTCTTCCTTCTTGTGTATTGGTCTTCATCGGACAGTATTAACAAACTTTTCACTGTGACTGACTAAGACAAGTCATTCCTAGGAATATGGGACTGTTTTACATCCTCCATCACATTTCTGTAAAATTAGGATTTTTTGTCCCAGTGGGATTTTTTTGGGAATGTGCACAAATTCACTTTTGGGCCTACCGTATTTTCCGGCATATAAGACGACTGGGCGTATAAGACGACCCCTGACTTTTCCTGTTAAAATATAGGGTTTGGGCTATACTCACCGTATAAGACTACCCCTCTTCCAACGCACACCAAATAAAAATTAAAAAACATCACCTTGCTCACCCACAATGTAAAAGCAGCTGTGCTAGACCCAAAATGGCCCCTGCAACAAGCAGGACCTCACACAGCCACAAAAAGCCCCAAAAACAACTTTCACACTTTACATACACACACACAACACAACACAACAGGCTCACCACCATATGCAACGCTCTCTACATGGGGCTCCCCTTGAGGAGCACCCGGAGGCTCCAGCTGGTCCAGAACGCAGCAGCGGGGTAGTGACGGGAGCAGCATGGCGCTCCCATGTAACACCGCTCCTGCGCGAGCTGCACTGGCTCCCATTGTCTTCCGGGTGCGCTTCAAGGTGTTGGTTATCACCTTTAAAGCGCTCCATGGCATAGGGCCTAGCTATCTTCGAGACCGCCTGCTGCTACCAACGACCTCCCATCGACCCGTGCGCTCCCACAGAGAGGGCCTCCTCAGGGTGCCATCAGCCAGACAATGTAGGCTGGTCACCCCCAGGGGGAGAGCCTTCTCTGTGGGGGCTCCCACCCTCTGGAATCAGCTCCCCCGAGATAAGGAGAATCCAAGACCTCAGTGCCTTCCGTCGCGCCCTTAAAACCCATTTATTTAAACAAGCCGGGCTGGCTTAAGATGAAATTTTTAACTGTTTTAAATGTTTTAAACGTTTTTAATTGGTAAATGAGTTTTAATTGGGCCAAATTTATATATCTTTTAATTGTTTTTAATATTTGTTCTGCATGTTTTTTAATCTGGCTGTACACCGCCCTGAGTCCTCAGGGAGAAGGGCGGTATAGAAATCCAATATAAAATAAAATAAAATAAATAAATATAAAAGCAGCTGTGCTAGACCCAAAATGGCCCCTGCAACAAGCAGGAACCTCACACAGCCACAAAAAGCCCCAAAAAACAACTTTCACACTTTACACACACACAAACACAACACAACTGGCTCACCCACAATGTAAAAGCAGCTTGTGCTAGACCCAAAATGGCCCCTGCAACAAGCAGGAACCTCACACATCCACAAAAAGCCCAAAAAAACAACTTTCACACTTTACACACACAAAATTCCACATACAGCTTTGTGAGATTTTGTGTGTTTGTGTAGTTAGAGTGAAACACTACAGAAACACATTAAATCTCAGAAAGCTGCACAAACATTATTTTATTTTTATTTTTATATGAAAACTAAATTTAAAACTTCCTAAACTTTAAATGGCTAGGTCTAAAAAAGAACAACTAAAAAAAACCCCAATTAACTATTTTTTTTAAAGCTCCCAAAGGGGAAAAAAACTTACCCAATAGAACAGGGGTCTCCAACCTTGGCAATTTTAAGACTTGTAGACTTCAACTCCCAGAATTCCTCAGCCACTTTGTTTTGCTGGGTGAGGAATTCTGGGAGTTGAAGTCCACAACTCCTGCCTGTTTGATTGCAGGCAGGGAGTGGCTTGCTGATGGAATGGATTCAGGCAAGCGAAGCAAGGCAAGCGTTGCGATTAGCAGCTAAGGTAAGCAAGCTGGAGGGGGAAAACTTTTTTCCTTTTACAGGGCTCTGGCGATCCCAGCTGAGTTGCCTGATTGGCAGGCAACTCAGCTGGGATCGTCAGAGCTTGCAGAGCTACGTAAAAGGAAAAAAGTTTTTTCCTTTTACATGGTTCTGGCATCCCAGCTGAGTTGCCTGATTAGCAGGCAAAGCTGGGATCGTCAGAGCTTGGATCGTCAGAGCTATTTAAGGCTCGTCAGAGTCTTTCGGGCTGGTCTGCCTGGTTACAGGAGAACGACACCCGGCGTATAAGACGACCCCCGACTTTTGAGAAGATTTTCATGTGTTAAAAAGTCGTCTTATACGCTGGAAAATACGGTACTTGGTTAGTCTTTCAATTGTGGAGATGTTTATTTAGAGTTCTTCATTTAGCCTAGGATACTTTGAAGGCCTTTTTTAGAATGGAATTACAAAATTTCACCATCTATGATCTTCAGGTAACTTATCCAAATAAGGCTCTTGGGAAGTCATAAATTCCTCTCTCATTGTCTAAGTAGTTTCATCTAAGGTTTAGGAAAGGAAGATTCTAATTCTTTAGATTTATGGTATTCTCAAACTAAATTGTGGATGGACTGTTTTCGGTTAAGTGATGAATAAAGATTTTATTAACATTCTTTCCCCTTATATTTTTAGTATCCACTTGAACTTGGACTGTTGGGAGCCTTCTTATTTTCATCTCTGGTAGGCCTCAGCAGAATTTACACAGGAATGCACACAGTGCTGGTAAGTTTTTACCGTGGGTAACTGCTGGGACAATGAGAGAGGCAAGGAAAAAAAATCATGAAATGCTTATGGTGCCATCATTACTTAAATTACAGAATTTTGATGCAAGTCCATAATTGTGCAGTTATTTAATGACATTGCTATATTATGTCATCATTTAGGAGTTATTAAATACATACATACATACACACATATACATACTTAATAAAAATAATTTCTAAGATATAAATTTTCCCCCTTGAAAAGAATATGTAGTTAAGTTTTCAGAAGCAACTTATTTTTTGTGATTTTTCTCTCATGCCTCTCCTAAATTTCCCACTTAAACAAGCCCAAGGAATTCTGGCTTGATGTTTTCATAAATCAGGATTTGAAAATTAAGAACAACGATTTGCTATTCTGTGTCTTAAAGGAGCAATAAGCCCAAATCCCCAGCTTGTTATTCTACAGCTCCCACCATCAGTTTGACATCTGCCTTGAGCTGAAGATAGGATATAGCAAAGTATAACAGCAAAGTTAAATACAAAGCATTAAGCAATACAAAGCATACAAGTTGAAAGAATCTGTAGACATTTCTCAAATCTGAACCTAAGTAATAGAAAATTTGTTTCTTCATGATTTAAGACTTTGATCACTGAGGAGATATATCTTTATATGCCTTTAGGTCAGGGCTGTCAAACTTGCGGCCTGCAGGCTGGATGTGTAACACACTGGGCCCGCCCATGCCGTTTAACAAAGGGGGGAGAAGAGTCATGATATGTCATGTGACGACACTGTGATGACGCGAGTTTGCACCCCTGCTTTAGATAGAGTCTAACACTGCCATTTGCACATTTACTTTTCTTGATGTGTGATCTAATCAAACTGGAAGAAATTATGAGGTAAAACTCCATTATTTTAAAACATCTTATTTGCTACATAGTGCAGCTGATTGAGTGCATTTACTGAGAGTTAGACTTAATGTTATTTACGGGATGAGAAGTTCAAATAAGACATTTTAATGATAATTTCAGCTTACTCATATAAGCATCTTAAATCATTGTAGCTGCTAATGGCTACATTTGTTTATTCATTACTATGAATTTTGATGGAAACCCTTATTAGATCAAGACATTTAGTTTAGAACAGAGAATTCTCTCTTCCCCATTATAGAGCTTAGTTACCCCAGTTAGTTAATCAATCAAGAGCCTGTAGTACAGTGGACTAAAACACTGTTATTAACAGATTAACATCTGCTGTTTGCAATTACTGCAAATTCAAATCGCACCAGGCTCAAGGTTGACTCAGCCTTCCATCCTTTCAAAGGTAGGTGAAATGAGGACCCAGATTGTGGGGGCAATAAGCTGACTTTGTATAAATATACAAAAGTATGAACACTATTGCTTAACGCATTGTAAACCGCCCTGAGTCTCTGGAGAAGGGCAGCATATAAATTAAAGCAAAAAAAAAAAAAAAAATCAGTAAAAATTCTCATGACTTTAATAAAATTATATGTCAATTTATCTCAGTAACTTATAATTCTGTGAATAGTTTTTACCTTAAATATTCTGGAGTTTGAAACTACTTATATATACAATAACATGGAGATCTCAATGTGTTCATGTTTCTAAAATAAAATGCTATGTTTATCTCCCAAAGTTTCAACTAGAATTTTCTGATTAGTTCAGTAGTCTCTTTTCTCCCACCTGAGTATGACCCAGGTTTTTTCTGACAAAGGAATAACAATATTTTGCAGTCCTGGTTGTCATTAAATAATGTGATAGCCCATTCCCCTCTCACCACCTAAAAGTCTTGAGTTCTTGCTTCAAATTACTAATCTCATAAAATTTCATTACACGGGAGAGAATAAAAAAACACAGTAGTTAGAAGTAAAGAACACGCTCTGGCGGCAGGGACAGCATAGTTCTTGATGAGATTTGATGTCATGTAGTTTTCTTCAGGCATTCAGTTACAAAATGGGGGAATGGGATATGTGTGTTGGTGTACCCTTTTCTGTTCCTGAATTCCATGCAGTCAGCCAGAGTTCTGAGGACAGTGTGCTCAAGTTTTCATTAGATGCAATATGTTAACAAAGCAGAATTCTGGGATACAAAATGTTTTCAGATTCAGATTCAAGATGTTTTTCAGAAAGGAAGACCAAGATGATAGAGTTTTGTGGATGGCCTATTTTCTACCTTGTTTTTGATGCCATCCATGTGTTTACATAAATGCCTAAATCTTCATGTTATATGTATTTTCTTTGATATTATATAGTAAGTTATTTCCAAAGTGTTTAAATTTAAATTTAACCAGTTTACACACATAAATAAAAGTTATCCCAAATCAAGCTTGACGCCTGATTTTTACACAAACATATTCATGAGGTTTTCCTAGCATCAGTATGGAAATGACTATTACTTTTTTCTAGGATAGTTTTTAATTTCCTAGTCTAATAGTAACCTGGGGTTTCTTCTTGATATACCATTCAAGTAGTAACCCAGTTCAATTCTGCTTAGTTTTTTTTAAAGATCAGTTAAGGCAGGGATGTCAAACTCAATTTTATTGAGGGCCACATCAGGGCTGTGGTTGACCTTGGGGGGAGGGGCTGGGGGGCATGGCCGACTGCCACTCCCTGGGCGGGCATGGCCAACTTGATGCCACTCCCCAAACTGCTGGCATATTTCCTCTTCACACTGGGTAGCCACGCTGGTCCAATTTTTTCTCTTTCAATTGGGTAGAGCATGACGGCCCCGTGGGCTGAATGCGGCCCGTGGGCCTTGTGTTTGATCTGTGAGTTAAGGTAAGTGTGGGTGCTACAACATAACTAATCCCTTGGCAACACATCTTCTCATCTCATCTCATCTCTCTCTCTCTCTCTCTCTCACACACACACACACACAATTCAAACTGAAATGTGGAGGAAGACAGAGTGACTAAAATATTATATTGAAGCTTTTAGGCCAATTTTTATCATATACTTGGCGCAAACCTGGAGAAAATGATGGAAGGGATTATTGGCTAGATTGATATGCCTATATATGGACGTATTTCTTACATTTAGACTTCATCTAATACATTGTTCTCTCCAAAGCTAAACATCTAAAAGGATAATATAAGATGATGCTACCGTATATAGCAGGAAAAAATGTACTGAAGTTTGACATTGGCTGTTTCTTTTTGAATGTAATCCATGCACATGGATTACAAATATTGCATACTTTTATTCACAAATGCAAGTGCCAATGAACCTTTAATCCCCAGAAATATTATATCCTTTTGCTTGAAGGCTACTCTTTATGCTTCACACATCCTTTGTTTATTACAGCTAAATTATAGGACACTTTCCAAGAAATATCAGGTTATTAGATTCTTGCTAGCTCTTGTCTCCAACCTCTTCTTGTAAATCTCATGTTGTTTCCATTTCTGACATAATCCCTTATGGGAATAGTTCCAAAAGCAATTCTCTGAAGAAATCTATTAAATCTAACTTATATACATACATACACAGGGTTAAACCTAGCTATATTCTAGTATTCCTAATTACAACCATTTGTCTACACAGTATACTTGCTGCATATCCTATTATAGTAGTGGAAGATGAAAACAAAACCTAGTGCCTCTAGGCCTTCATAAGACCATAAGGAGCACCATAATGTATGAAATAATATAACCCTTGGCATCTAATGCAGGAATATTATGATGAACCACTTCAACTTCTTCCAGCATACAGGAGCAGCCAGCTCCAAATTAAGGATTTAGTATCTAAGATCAATCATAATTTAAGGGAATATATAGAATCATGGATTTTCTGTGGAGAAAGTTCTACTAACATCCCCAGAATGATGCTTCCCAAAGATTTGGACTACACCATCCCTGCTAGCAATAGGAGCTGTAATTCAATATCTCTGAAGGATAGCAGCCTAGGGAAGATATGTGTAGAATATAATTTGTGTAATGACCATGCATATGCGTGTATGTGTGAAAGAGAAATAGAGAAGACTTTTGTTTAAAAATCTGTGATGGTATTCTTTGTTTCTTTTGTGTGGAATGGAATTAATTTGAGATATGTACTAGCATTACTGATGTTTTAAAGTTCTTTAGTGTAGATTACAGTAGCAGTAGTGAAGCATTCAAAAACTGGTCTTTTTTCTTAATAAATGTAGTCATTCAAGATGACTTTGATTATCAAGAGTCCTTTTCTGAACACTCTCCAGAGTCCCTCTTTGAGTGAAATGGGTAGATGAAAAATATGAAAAATAGATAAAAATAAGATAATTGATATTGTTTGGCCTAAAGCCACCCATAAAAAAGTAAACTAAGGAAGGAACATTAATTCTTTGCAGAGAAATTACGAAGTTATTAAATTGAGTGCCTATGGAGATTCTCAATCATCCAGGAAATAGTTACCTCAAAGCAGTTCAGAATGAAGAGGTTTCTTGGATGAGAAGTGAAACTTTTCAAAGGAAAAAACTGAGAAAATCTATTTGCCTTTGAAAAAAGCATCTTTGTATGATTAAACTGAGAGATTATGGGAGGGAAAGGCTGGTGACTAGAAAGAAAAAAACTTTTTTTATTTCTAGTCATCAGAAATCTTAATTTAAGAAGCATTACTTCATTGCCTTTCAGCAAGAAGGTCCAAATCTAAATTATGGGTTTGCATACAGTGATATATGAATACATACTCTGCCTATAAATTTTACCTTAATTCTGCAAATGTAGCATATTTACTGCTCTTGCAGAAATCCTCTCCTGTCCCCCCACCCCCACCCCATGAAGAGTATAAAAGTGATGAAGATTCCTCAGTTAAATTTTGCTTCAGTGAAGTAGTAGAAGTTGAAGGACATACATCATACCAAGCTTTTGTATTTGTTATGTTACTCATTGACATTTATTCTTAAGGTATTTCTTATGTCTACTAGACCTGTCATGTTCTAAACCTGATTTTCAATTCAAGTTAGGGATTGTATTCTGAGACAAATGGCAACTTGTGTCTCTAATATCTTTATGTGTTTTTCCAGGACGTCATTGTCGGCAGTCTAATTTCCTTATTTTTGACTGCTATTACCTGTCCTACCTGGGATATCGTGGACCATTTGATGCTCACCAGCGCTTTCTGTCCAGCATTCTGCATCATTGTGCCCCTCTTCTTGTGCTACAATTATCCCAAACTAGATTATTACAGTCCAACTAGAGCAGATACTACCACTATTCTAGGAGCTTCGGCAGGAGCAATTATCGGGTTTTGGGCAAATAATCATTATGGTTCAAATGCTGCATCTACAGATGTCACTTACAGTGTTTCTTCTATCAATCGTGAAATTATCTTGCTAGTGCTTGCAAAATTTATAGTGGGGATTGGTGTTTTAATGATGACACGGCAGATTGCCAAAACTATTGTTCGTAAATCATTATGTTCTTGGCACAAGGTTTCTAACAGCGATGTTGTAGCTATGCAGCAAATAAAAATTGAAGTGCCCTATAAATTTATAACCTATTCTTCTATTGGTCTAAGTGCTACAATGTTTGTGCCACTACTATATACATTTTTCGGTTTAAATTAAATGCTATGCATTTGTTTTTTTTTAATTGTCCAGATTATGGACTGCAGATTAAAAAGATTTGCAGTAGTTGGGGGGCTGGGGTGATGGGAGAATGGAATGTGCCTTTTGCATAAACTCTTTGGATTGCTAATACTGGAGACTAAAGATAGGATTTAGTTATTCTAGTATTCAGTGTGAGAGAGATGGTCACAGACCAAAAAATAATAATAATCAGGAATGACATTTAATTCTATGTATATTGCTGAGAATTATCAGCTTTGTAAGTTGAGGGAAACCAAATATAGTACAATATCAGTTTTCAACAGTTTGTAAACATATGTGATTGGGAATAAATGCATGCTATGATCTTCCTCGGAATGGAGATGCTGCACTATTCCTCTAGGGTTTAAATGACCCTCACAGTCCCCAACCTAACCTTTTATCTTACATACCATAAGAATACAGGTTGGAATTTTCATTTTTCTCTTTGTATTTTGAATAAGGAGTCTGAAAGATATTGATTGTATGACGACATAATATTCTTATATCAAAATACTGTAGACGTTTCTCAGGAATGTAGCACTGACAGCATAAAGGAAGCAGCATTTTGTATTCTAATGGTAATACAAGAGAAAGGTGCTGAGTTGCTTCTAAGTCTTTTTCCTGCTTGTTCACATTCTAAACGTTACAAATGGATGGCGATTGGCTATATGAAAGAACATGTGGAGATTGGAATAGTTGATTAGTACTACTGGTCAAGTATTCTTTGTGTTCACATTATAGCGGGAACAGAAGACAGTAAAACCTTCATATCATAGATTTTAATTGAACAGATTTTAGATATAAAATGTTTTTGTTTGGACTTCACCTCTATTTACTTACATCACTAACGTGATATAATTACATAAATGAGGTAAACTATATAAATTGGAATTTAACAGATATCTGATATGCTAAATCATGGTTTTACTGTAATGCAATGCATTATTGAATTAAGTAGGACAATTCTATTTAAAATAGATTTCTAAATGTATGTTGTCTTCCCAACAGCTTTGGGTTTGTTTACATAACTGTTTTTATGAAGAGCACATAGTTTTTGCTGTTCAACAAGACTGCACATATATGTTCTTATTTATAAAGTATACAATTTCTATTTTTGTATCATTTTACTGTAATATGCTAAATACATAATCTGAAAAAATACCATCAATTGCTATATTCAAATTATGTGTTTCTATATTTTTTTTAAATTAAAACATATGTCATATATGTATCTGTAGTGTACTATATAGGTTATTTCAAAGTATAAATGTCAAATGCTCTTAACAAGGAAGCACAAACAAATACAGTATTTTCTGGTTACATTTTTAGTTCATGTAGACACTGAATTAAAACATTAAATAAGACTGCTTGCAAACATATAGAACTAGATATGGACACTAGGTAAAAGGCTTGTGGTTAACATTTAAAGCAGGCATACAAATCCTATAGCCTTGGCTCCATTAATTTGATCACTCCATCCAAGTGGTCTATGTGTTAAAGGCAGTGGTGGAATTCAAATTTTTTTTACTACCGGTTCTGTAGGCGTTGCTTGGTGGGCGTGGTGTGGCTTGGTGGGCATGGCAGGGGAAGGATACTGCAAAATCCCCATTCCCACCCCACTCTAGAGGTGGCATTTGTCGGCTCTCCAAACTACTCAAAATTTCTGCTACCAGTTCTCTGTCAGAACCTGCTGAATAGCACCCCGCTACCAGAATCTGTCAGAACCTGCTGAATAGCACCCCTGGTTAAAGGTATTTATTGGTAATTTATTTAACAAGTGAGATTTTCAGCATAAATCCCTAGTATCCAAAATTTTGCTTCAATTCCCTGTAATCTCATCATCACCACAACTAATCCAAAATGGGGGTTCACCTAAGATCATTAGTTGGGGTTTTTTTTCATCAAAAGACTTATTTACTCAATATGAAAATGTGCAAAGAAACATCATGTCTAGAAGACAAAAATATCTTTAGGCATTTGCAACTACATACAAATGACAAAGCTTCCTTATTCTATTTCTAGTATAGGAAAAAGCAGAATCAATGGATAATTTAGTCTTAACATACAGCTGCTTGCAATTGTATGTTCTACAACTAAGGGTAACTGAGTAGGCAAATTTATTTTGATCCCCTTTTTTTAATAGAATAAAAATTTATGGTGTAGCTACCATGGGGGGAAAAATAAGTTTGTTTCAGCTTACAAAAAACATGTATGTTTATAATCAGGAAAAAATTAACCTCTCAATTTAGTTCACATTTGTTTTTATAAATTATCACTCTATTTGGTGTAGCTGCAATAAGTTAACAGTCTACATTTCAATCACTAAACTATCTGAGGAAACAAAGAAGTATTTAGCCAATACATATTTATGATACTTTGCCTTGTTTTTTAAAAAGATTGATGTCCTTAACTGTTAAAAAAGAGGCTTTCACTGGTTAACAAAACTTTTCTTATTATAGTAATAATATATTGAATCCTAATAAAGCCTAATGTAACATTGGTCTAATACTTTGACGTACAGAGAACTGCTAGGCAGTAGCAAGACAAAATAAAATAGAGAATGAAGTTGGACCAAAGGACGATGTTCTTCTTACTGGAAAGGCTCAATTGTGATTTCTAGAGCAGAACAGGGCATAGTGAGCTCAAATTTGGTGACAACATCAGGATGAAGAACTCCCAAGTTCCCAATGCTCTGTCCTTTGGCAAAGATCTCAGCACAACGACCAGGGAAGAAAGCAGAGTCTGAAAGCAAATAAAGGGACAATGGAGTTAGTATTTCTAGGAACAAACAGAAACAGAGATAAACTCTCAATAGCACCTAAGATTCAATTGAAATGGTTGCAAATCAACAAAAATGGCTTCCCATTTTAGAGTGTTAACACAATCGAGAAAAAAAAAGCATTTGAAAAGTCAAGCCTTTTTTCAGAAGTATGTATATTTTACATTTAAAAAAAGTTGGGAAAAGTTTTGCTAGGAAACTTTAAAATTCAAATCTACATTTTCAACGTAAGGTGTCCAAGTGGTTAATTAAAAAATTAAAACTTTGAATTACTAGGTAAAATTAGGCTACAGATTCAAATAATTACAACTGAAGTACCTGTTTTATAATCCTGCTTGCATTTCCCCCCCCAGTAATCTCAATAGAATTTCATAATTTAATGCTAATATAAAATTTTAAAGTAATAAAGTAAATACTATTCTGAGAAAATGTCCACAGTATTCTATTTCAAAAATTATCTTTCTGTTTGTATCTCTCTATCTCACATTGGATTTGTAAATAAACTTATTACTAGGCACATATTGCCACATCTGAGATTTTTCAGTTGTATTACATTGTAAAGTTATGCACAAGGCAAAGGTGGGGAGGACAATAAAATAATCCTCAAAAGTTCACTAGAAGAAGTACTTCTAAAATCATTAATATTAAATATAGCTAATTAATGCAAGTGCTCTAAGAAGCATTTTAAAAAAAAGAATCCGCTACTGTATTAGAAAACATTTCCATAAATTATCTCAAGCTAATCTCATAGTGTCTTCAGTTGTCTTGAAAACGTGTACCTGTGAAAACAGGATGATGTGAGAAGCTGAATTACAGCAACACCGCTTTATTTAGATTTATGGATTCTGCCACAAGAAAAAACAATACAGAACTGAAAGAAATAATGTCAATATATAGTATCATAATGGTCACTATTAAATCACTTGTTCGCTTGCAAACATGCCCACGGACAGAGTTGGAAAAATATTACTTTAAAAGTACTTATACTGGGCCATGAAGGCCAGAGGAATCTCTCTTCATACCCTAGCTACGATTATTTAAAAGTTAGATTGCAGTATCCTCTTAGGTCTCTACCACTCTACAAAGAACAATTAAAATTTACAAATTACAAAACAATTAGTTTTGTATGAACTAAACTACCATGGAAGGCTAATTTCTCAGCAGAAGTATTACTCTGTTCACAACAGAAGATGTATGCTAATAGACTGACCTAAAAATTAATATGCAAATAGGAATTAATCAAAATGGGTACGCAGAGTGTTATTTCTCACAGGTAACAATCTTCTAATTTATTAATTTATCATTTTTTAGGAGATTTACAACAAGTAAAAAATGCATGATACCCAGAATGCATTGGCATATTATACTTGCCACTTCTGTAGTATGATAGCAATATGCTTGAGTTGTTTTAAGGACCAATAATATGCATAAAATTTCTGTTAAAATTATATGAAGTAAAATTCCCAATGCTTTAAAGAATGTTCCTTAATGAAACTAGATTTTATTAATCCTGAAAGATGTCATTTTCAAATGCAAAGATAAGAATAGCTTATGTGAAAGAAAAACTTCAGCCCAATGGATCTTAACTAGGTCATAGCAGACATCTGACCATTCATGTTTTCAATATATTAATTGGAATTTAATTCTGTGTGAATGCATATTAGATTCAAGTCCAATTTTGTAGTTAGGGTCAGCAAATATGTCAGTTCCTGTTATAAGAAAGTTCCCCATGAACTAGTGTACATAAATTGTTATCTTCCACAGTAATAAAAAACATGCAAAAAGGCTTCCTATGAATTAGTACACATAAAATGTTATTTTCCATGGTAAAAAAATTAGCAAACTATATCAAGCCTTTTCCTGCTAACTACTGGTTTTTGTTTTTTGTTTTTTTTTTGGTTCACAGGGGTTCTGTCCTAATAGTCAAATCTGGGGGCCTAAGGCTGAGAATCATCAAACTACAGAGTAAGATGTATTGGCAAGCATATCTAATAGATCAAAATTGTATTATATGATGCAGAAAAAGATGGAATCATATAAAAACACACATGTTAAACCTCTACTTTAAAGCCCATAAAATTAAGAATTTATTACATGCTTTTAAACTCAAATGCCTCAAGGAATCCAAAAGGAGACTGAATTTGAAAGTATATGAGTGCTGTAAAAGATAATTAAGAAAGATAAAGCATGAACTCCAAAGTCTTTAGATAAACATACTTGCCTTCTGAAAATGGCAGCTCTAAAACTTTTTAAACCCTATAACATCCAAATAAACTAAAATCAATGATCCATAGTAAGAAAAAGATTTCTGAAATGCTTTGAGGTTCAAAGAATTCTGTTATTAAACTTATGTCCCTAAGAACTGATAATTGTCTTTGTGTTCTAACGCCAAGACTGCTTTGATTATTCAGGGCATCTTCTTTGGTCACTAATCCAATGGAAAACCTGGTCTTTAGCCTATTTTCTGCTTAATTGACCTTCAAAGAGCTTGTTGAATTCTCAGTGTGCTTTATTGTCAAATAGTCTATACATAGCTTCTTTTCTCTATCAATCTCCTTTCCATATTTGGAGTGAAAAGATTAACGAAATGATATAGGATCAGAGTTAGCATCAGCTTTAAAGACTATACTGATTCAACTCATAGCTTGAAAACAATAAGTAAACAAAAATTAGATGTTGGGCTTCAATAATTAAGAGGAAGGAACTATGCTATCCAGCATGATTATTAAAGGCTCAGTCCAAATATTCCAAGAGTTAATGTTTATTATCTTAACATGAAATGGAAAAAAATTAGTTGATCAGAAACATGATGCATTTGTAAATCACATCAAGACTGATTTCATCAGGCCTGAAAAAAATTAATATCTTTTCTAGGCAGTATAAAGAATCATTTTTCTGAGTTTATGGAAGGTTATCTATTCTCCTCTATTCCCTAACATCTGTAACACACATCCCATATGAAAGGATAAGAAGAAAAAGAAGTTTACTGTTTACAAAACAAACGCGAACAAGTAAACTGATCTGTGTAAGGAAACTACTGGAAGAGAAACAGTTAACAGCCACTAAAGTTCTTAATACATGTAAGCTAATCCCCTAATTCAACAAGTGCCTCTCATCCCTTTTTTGAAGATCAAAAAGAAAACTTTCTTTTACTGTATATTTGGAATCAGTGGGAACAGGTGTGGATTCTGGATAGGCATGCAGATGAAAAGGTATAATTACCTAGTCCACTTCAGAATCAGGGGGTCTGAATTCCCATTAAGAGGAAACATTTCGCTTTTATAACTTTTGTAATGAAGTATGTTATTAATAAAATAAAGCTTAATACACATTAGCGTTTACATCAGCTGGCTAATACCTTTCTACAGCAGGATATAATTTTCCAGTGGTAATTTCATGCAAAATGTAAAGCAGATCGAACAACAGTTACAAATATTGTAAAATATAAGAGAAACAGACCAGAAACTAAACTTGGAGTCTGGTTTTCCAGACTATTTCTTTTCATTTATTTCTATTTCATATTTCTAAACTGCCCATCTCCCTCAAAGAGTGATCTTCCAATATGACGCTCTTATCATCTGCCGATGATGCCCTTTTTCATTCTAGGTTATACAATCAGGGCAAGAACTAATTTAGCTTCCATCTGCGGCTGCTCCTTGAGCCCCAGCAGTTCTTGCTAGCATGGCTAATTGTATATAATACTGAGCCACAACTTCTATACTGTATCCTTGCTTTATGCAAAAGAATATAGACAGAAATCTAAATTTTAAAATGACAATATAAATATTTATAGGTCAAAGTTTTTAACTACTATGAAATCAGTTACAAGGACTGCGGTGGCTCACATGGTTAGGACACTGGGTTGGCAGTTAGCAAGCCCACAACTTGAGACCCGAGTACTGCTGCATGGTGGAGTGAGCTCCTCCAGTCGTTCATTTCAGGTCCTTGACAGGAACATGAAAGGAGCACCAGGCAACGGTGATGTCACCAAATATTCCTTTCACCCTGGAAGCACCTTAAACGGTGTCATTGACACAAATGGGATGTGTGTGTGGGGGGAATCAGTTACTGATCTTAGACTCTGTATGCAATTGTTTGGATTTAAAGCAACAAAAAGGTGGTTTGAGAGAGGGGGTGCTTGCAAAGGTGCTCATCTGATAGGCACCCAATCTGAAGAAAATATATGTCTGAGATGAGGCACCATCAACAACCCCACCTAACCCCAAGCTTTCTACTGTACCCTGTTAGCATCTCTTTACCTCAAATATTTCCCTCCTCAGGGATCACACTGCCACCTTACGGGCTTAGGAAAATGCAAAATTGTAATTAAGTGCCAAGAAGGAGAGAGCATGCATACCTACAAACCTTCTGGAGCAGCACCTCTTCTGCCTTGAATCTGACATACTACACATCCATAAATTGTAAACTATTCAACGTGGGTTATGGATGGCAGAAGACTTGATAAAGGATATATTTTATGATAAAATACCTATATGATAGACAACTCTCTGTTATCTACCCTGTTTCCCCTAAAATAAGACATCCCCTGATAATAAGCCCAATCGGGCTTTTGAGTGTGTGCGCTAAAATAAGCTCCACCCCAAAAAATAAGCCCTCCCTGAAAATATTTAAACACATGCGCAGCTGGTCTTCGCCATTTCCTCTGGTTAGGATTAGGGAGACAGAGCTGGAAATCAGGTAAGATGGCAAGAGGAGCCCCGCCTTGCTCAACACGTCCCAAAATAATAAGACATTCCCGAAAATAAGACCAAGCACTTATTCCGGGGTTCAAAAAAAATATATAAGACAGGGTCTTATTTTCAGGGAAACACGGTATATACCATAATGTGTTAGTTTCTAAAAAGTGGAATTGGAACCAATTCAGAGTCACTTTTTTAAAAAAATAGGATATGTTCACATTCCTTTATTCCTTTATAAGAGTTTATATGATGAATAATCCATT